CAGATATGAGAAGAGAAAATGGCAACTTTCTGATCTTCGTTAAATGAATTACCTGAGTCACTCATTTCAGAAACTCCTTTCCAGTGCCTAAGGATAAACTAACACTTGCAAACTGAACAATTAAATGAAACGAAAAATAGCTTGGCTTCATCGTCTATATAATTTGGTCCAAAAAAGCTTACGAACTGCAATTTCCCTCTCATAAAGATTAAATAGACACCTAGCCTTATGGCTTCCTGCTATTAAATCAGGTCCTTTAGGCCACAAATTAGGCCACTGAGACAACATTAACGGAACAATAATGCACTAATTTGATTCAGTTTATTGAAACTATGTAAAATCAGCCAAGCTTGGGTGGAAAACAGGTGGCGGCAGACTTGATAAGGGAGTTAAAACGAACAATCTGTAAGATCCCTTTCACCTCTAACGTTCAAAGAAATGAGAATTTCAAAGCTGGCTCAAAAGCTAAGTCTAAAGACACACTAGAAAGACGGGATCAGAGGAAAGAAAACAGTACTAGTCTGCACATAATTTTTAGATTCCTCTTTTGGCACCTGTCCATAACAGGGATTTAAATGATCTATCAACATGATGAGAGCGCACTAGGGCTACTTCCAGCGACTAATTAAAAGATACGAATGAATAAACAGGTGGCCTGAATGCTTTTATGAAGTCCTCTAACAATCTCACTTCCTTTCAGAGTGACAAAGAATTTGGTTCATTTTTTTCAAGAAATGGGTACACAAGTGCACACTTTACTCAAATCAAACTTTACACTGAACTTGTGAAATGTCATGTTTGGCATAACTCTGTGTTATATCAATTGATGTTTTTACAAATTATGTAATGTTTTAAGTATTTTTACATCCATCTTAAAGGTTAAATACACAACAAGGTAAGAGGAATAATAATTCTAATTGTGGAACCAGAGCTGTCCTAAAACAGACAGACAAATATGAGAATTAACCTATACAACTGGAGAAACATATTTTCATGAGGACCCATAAGGACTGAACGTGATGCATAACAGAACCACAACTCTAAGAGTAATACGGAAAAACAACACCATTACCTAGTTTTAACACGTGGAAATATCTTCTTAAACTTCTGAAACCTATCTGAATATATGAAGCCTTAAGAATCTGCTTTTGTAAAAGATAAATAACTCAAGATCATTTGCCTTTTAAATCTCTGCTGATTTCAACAATCACTGTAAATAGTCAGAGAGGAAAAAAAAAAACTCCTCTACCAGCCACCAGAGTTGCTTAACAAAAGCCACTTAATGAAACCATAGTTGAGACACATGCAAAAAAAAAAACAAACTTTAACTGCATAGAAAATATTTACGAGTTTACTTTCCTAATGCACACAATTGCGTCCTTGTTTTCAAAGCCCTGCAATTCACATCAGTGGGAACAAAAAAATCTTAGAGACAACAGAAAGTTAGCTTCCTAGAAGACGCTTTGAGTAAGAAAAAGCATTGAAGAACCAGAATCTGTTTCTTAAAACAAAAAGATCTTACAAGTTTCTCTTCCAGAAAAGCTATTAACGAACCAATAAACAGCACATTTTGCAAATGTTTAGCCCCGCAGTTTATCTAGCGCACCTATTCTATCTCCATCGATCTACCAGTGAGTACCTAAACCTCAGAGCAGCACTCTCGCAGTGCACAAAACATCCAAGAGAACTCTGCGCCTCCATTTCTAAGATCCCCATCTCTTAGCCACTGGCCTCTCCTTTGATCTCACCTACGCTGTGAATATTTCATCCACTGGGAAATCAACCTAGCGGCGAGATCAGTTAAGTCATTAGCAGGCACGAGGGTTACCGGAGAGGAGAAAGTGGAGAGTGCGAAGTTTCCGAGCTCTGGGGCGCGGCGGAAGTTCTCGCCCTCCGGCCGCCGGAGCCCTGCGCCGGGCCGCCGCTTTGATGCCCAGCAATGGCTCCAGGACCAGACCCGGCGCGGCTCCGCTCGCTGCAGCCCTGCTCGTTAATTACCATTCGGTTCACGCCGCGAAGGCTCCCCCGGCCAGCTCCGCCTCCTCCCCAAGCCGCCGGAATGCACGGCCAGGACTGAACTTTCCAAGGGGGCAGGCGCCGCGGCACCACCCCTTCCAGCCGGGCTCGCTCTTTCATCCCATTTTCCACAGCACCGGCAGGAGCACGATCCGGAGCTGGACCTAAGGAGCCGAGAGTCCGCCAGCCCGAGGCAGCAAGTTGCACGCCTCCGGGGCACTGGCAGCCGCGGCGCCCCTCGCCCACCCGCGCGCGAGCCCCAACTTGGTTTCCATCAAACTTACAGCAAAGTTGGCCCGAAGTGGCGGCGGCGCTCTCGGGGGCGCGCACCTTGTCGCCTCAGCGCGCCCCCGAGCGGGACCCGGGGCTGCCGGGGGGGGTCTCCCTGAGCCCGCAGGTCCACACGCTGCCCGGGGCCAGCCCTCGCCGCCCGCGCGCCCCGCTCCGAGGCCGCCCTGCTCGGCCCCGGCGCCTCACGCGCCCGGCGCGGGGTATATCCCTCCGCCCGCAGCCACGCCCGCGAGCGCCGGCGCTCGTTTCACCGGCGCGGAAAGTCCTGCCGACTTTCCCTGGCGGCGGGACTCGGAGTCTTCGGAGTCCCCGGGTCCCGGGCAGCGACGGCCCGTCGCCGGTCAGCAATCCTCTGCCGCCCCAGCAGCCAACTGCTTGAGAGAAGGAGACGAGCGAGTGCCCAGGGTTGATCTGGCGACACTCCGAGGAACAGTTTGGGGCTTGCTTTAGTGCGGATGTTAGTTATGGCCAGCGCACAGATTTGTGCAGGGAATTAATATGGAATGTTTCCTGCTAGGAAAAGGGAAACATTAGCTTAGCTCCAAAATAACAAAAAGCTGAGCCTAACGGCACAGCTTTCCACGCCTCCCTTTAGATTCTCTAGAACCTTCAGGGAATTCCTAAATCTGCATGTGAATACCTCGGTTCTGGGTCTGCAATTGCTGGGTGGAATAACATCTTCCAAAAGGTCTCCAGAGGAATGCAGTTAGATCGGAATGTGCTTCCTTCTTCAATCCACACTAAGATCCCCGGAAAATGAAAGCGCTTCCTCCGCGACCTCTTTGTGTAGAGCTAGTGAGACCCCAGAACCTCTCCGACCCTGGGTACGAACCCCAACGCCAGCATCCCCCGGCGGACACCCCCGGTTCCCACGTCTGCAGGACAAAAGGCAGCTGTGCCGCCTCGTGCGCTCTCCCAGTGGGTAAGTCCACCCTGCAAACTGTGAACCCAGTCTACGTGAAATTACAAGTTCCCTAGGGAGAAGGGAAAGCCCCGGGCGTGCAGACGCCTCGCTCCGGGAACTCCCCCTAGCCGGAGAGCGCAGTCCGGCGTCCCCGGGCTGTGAGCCCATCCTCATCGCGAGCTCGGCACAGTTGAGGTTCAGCCGAGGCCCGGAGTGCTCCCCGGAGCTGGGAAATAGGCCAGAGAAAAGGGCGGACATGACCTCGGAAAGTTTGTGGGACTCGAACATTTTAACACTGTGAGGACAAAGAGATCTGATATCCCCGGAATCGATGGAGGGGGATGCAAGGGAACTGCGAAGCAGATGGGGGAGAGGGAGTCTAGGGTTCAAGAGAGAATTTCCCTGGTTCAAAGTTAATGCAGTGTTCTCTTAAGAAGGTGATTGAAAAAATAAAGGTATCTAGCAGGTTATGGCTGGGAAGGAAAAATAATGCCTGCAGAATGAGTATGCTGATTCATAGCACTGAAAGTGTGTGGTGGTCTTCCCTGCGCATTAGTTAGAATGTACACAAATTCGCACTCCCAGCAAACACCATCATCCCAACACCCGGCCACGGTCTTAACTGCGCAAAGTGCTCCTGGAGTTACAGGTCAATTTCATGCATGGAACACCTCGGAAGTAAGTGACCTGGATCTGCAAGCTCAACCGGTCTGCGCCTCTTGCCGAATTCTAACTCTCAACAAAACACAACCACACCAGAACGCCAACAGTTTGAGTTTTTGAGTTTGCCCGGGGCGGGGGGGGGGGGGCGACAGTAAAACGTAAAACGACCGTAACAAAATCCCAACACTTTAAATGGCACACAAGAATTCCTGGAGAAAATTACCATTCATTAAGAAATAATAACGCTTACTCGAGCTAAAACAACTGTTTGGGAATCCCGATTTTTCCAGGCTTTCTGCGAAACCTCATTGCCTGGAAGAAGTTACACTTCCTCGCCACAGGAACAGCCGAGAGCCAGAGACGGAGATTGCAGACTCCGGCGCTACCACGTTTTTACTGATCCTTAAGCCCCAACGGAACGAAACAGAGGTGCCTTTTTGCTACCACCGAATTACCTTCACATGAAAGAGAAACGTAGTTGAAGCTCCACGTTTGTCCTTTGAATAGTCGACCCTCCCTCACCCTGTCCCCAAAGGCTCTTGGAAATTAGAGGGATGGACGACGAAAACAAAAACGCTTTCCTCCAGCACGGCCTCTGCATCCAGTCTACCAAAGCTACTATTTGGAAATTAGACACAGAATGGGCCGGAGTGGGTGGTAAGCGAAGGCTGGGGTGGCGGCGACCGAGCTCACGCCCACGTCCCAGGAGCGCCCGGCAGGTCCAAGTTCGCGGTCCGCGCGGAACCCGGCAATGAGTGCGCGCCTTGCCGGGTGTCCGGACTAGAGGGCGCTGCGCCACTGCAGATCGCGCGGCCCCCGATGCGCCCTCCCTAGGCACCATTTCTATACGTAATAAGTTACATTCAAAATAATGCACAAACAACATAGCTTTTCAAGTTCTTTTGAACAGTGCTCTGTTATGTGTTTTATGAATTCCAAGATGTATGCATACTGATCCTTTTCATTCCCGAGCCATGCACTTCCAGAAAAGTGTGCAGCTCGCTGAGCGGAGAGACTGTAGGATACACACGCTTCCCTGCACTAGCTTAGAGCCAAACACCCCACGTAATTTCATTTACGTTTAAACTTAAATACAAAAAAGGCTTGCACTAAACAAAGAACTCACCAGTCCAGCTGAGTCCTCGGGGCTCCGCTTTAAAGTCCTCGGCAGCTCCGTAATCCCTCGCGAGCTGGGTATGTGTTAAAAGCCGGGTCTGAAGTACCAACTTTGCCTCCCTCTGATCTTCAGCATGTCCCCAACCAGAGTGCGATGCGCCCGCGCTGCCCAGACCCAGGTGGCCGCATCTCCAGAAGCTTCCGTCCTGGGTGAAACTTGGGCACCAAAAGGAGGCGAAATGAGAGAGCGCGATGGCTAGAGAGAGGGTCGAAGAGAAGCCAAGTTTGTCAGGACATGCCCAGGCAGCGAGCCGCCGAGTTTGGGAGTTGCGGCCGGGAGCTGCGGCGGATCACTGCCTCTTTCCCCACTCCCTCCCTGTTGGAGGAGGTGGGGGAGGGGAGGTGACGTCAGCGCCCCGCCTCGCCCCCAGGCCCCGGCGCGGACCGGGTTCTCCGGCGGGGTCCGCCTTCCGGACAGTAGCAGCAGCTAGCTTAGAGGCTGTGGCGTGTTCCCCTGCTACCGCGATCCCCACGGTCGCTGCGGTCCCTAAGGTGAAGCGCCGGCCGTCTGCACCCTGCACCGTCTCCCGGGCTCCGCCGGGTGCTGGCGCCCCTCGCGCTCAGCACCTGAGCGGCCCCGGAGCCCCGCTGCGGGCACCTCTCCGGCTTGCTCCCTTTCCAGCCCTCTCCGGCAGCGTTTCCCACGCCTCGAACTGCAGGTGATGCTCTTCCTCTTCTGCAGCTGAAATTCGTCCCGCCGTCTCGCCTGCCGGGTTTTTGCAGGGCGGAAGCATGAACAGTCCCTGCAGACTGGCCTGGACGACTTGTACTTTGTAGCCTTCCAACTTCTGGATGTGATCTATTTTAAATACTTCTTGTGCTCTTAGCACGGTCTGTGGTCTTTGTGTTGAAAATCACGGAGCCATATTTTAATTTTCAAATCCTTTCCAAAAGCGCCTACGTTTTTAGACCGTATTTTGAAGCGTATAAGCTTCCGAGGGATGGGGGAAAGAGATGGAGGAGGAGCCAATTTCTAATGTTTCTTACAAGTCATCCATAGTGATAGGGGCCAGTATACAAATCAATCGTCTACTCCTCGTACTATAGACCAAGATAGATGCAAACACTGTTGAAATTTAATTGATAAATGAATGCGTCTTTTTTATGTAAGCGTCCAGATCCAGGAAAATGTCTGCTGTGGAATATTTTTTTAATGCCGCTAAAGTACCAAAATAAAATCTGAACAGTGTGAAATTCCTAGGGTGCCATTTCTGTGAGTTGACACTGTCCCCAGAAGGTTGGCATTAAAATTCAAAGATCCCTGTGAAATGGCGACGGGGCTGGGAGCGGTTTCTACCAATACATTTGCAGCCAGCTATGTAAATTTACTGGTCGGTTTAGCTGGTCGTTCTCTTCGAAAGGTAAAGAGCAAAGCCGCAAGGACACAGGAAACCTGGAAACAAGGCAAGGGGTTAAACAGTTCAGAGAAAAAACGATCAAGTGTTGGAGTATTGTATGTGCTTAGCCTTGAGGAAGTCATAACTTCTCTAAATTTCAGTTTCCTCATCTGTGATGAGGGAATAATACCTGTTTCACACAGTAAAAATGTATTCGCGTTATCTATTCAAAAGTTTATTGAATGCCGTTTATCTGCCAAGGAGATATTCATTCATACTGGCAGCACTCTTACTGAGCATCATATTAAGTGTCTAGCAAGCGCATAGTAGTTTATCAATATTAGGTTTCTTGCCCTGCCTTGTTCTTTGCAGTATCTCGGTTTTCTCATCGATAAAATTAGGATGAATTAAAGGGAGGTTATCAGAACTAATTCAACATGATTTTGGTTTCGAAGGAAGAGGAGGGCGCTGAAAGCTAGGAGGTGGAGGACTGGAGGAAAGGACCTCAGAGGCCCCTGCAGACCCAGGGAGCAGCCGAAGGTGCCAGATTCCTGAGGAGGGAGGAGGCAATCAAAAGAAAGCCTGGCTTGAAAGGCCAGCCTGTCAGTGCGGAGGAGAGAGTTCTCTCCTTCACTGTTTGAACCACACAGGCTCGCTCCTTTTATGTCAATAGCTGAAATTAGAAATTGACCACATAATACAAGTTTCTATAAATGATACACATAAAGTGTACACATAAGTGGCTATTTAAATTAAATTAAAATTAAATTCTTTTCAAGTACTACATTTCAAGTACTCAATGTCTGCTTGTGCCTAGTGGCTACAGTATTGTTCAGGGTCAATTAAAGAACCTTTTCATCATGAGGGAGCGTTCTATTGAACGACATTGTTAGGGACTTCCCTATTGTTTTGGGGAGGCTACATCAAGTATCATCATTTTGATGCATCCAATATTGAGTCACTTTCAAGTAAAAAAAAAAGCAATCGCAGAAGGATTCGCTTATTCTGCAAATATTTATCAAGTACCAACAATATGCTAAGTGAAATTATAAAGGACTCAAAATTTAATGAGTTAGGTGTGTTTGGTGATTAAGAAATATTAACATGGCTTAACAGGGCCTTTTAGTTGTTTTCAGTTATTGCTGAGTATTAAAACCAGGGTAAATCACTAAACTTAAAGCAAGAAAGAATTCTAAAACATTTTTAATAGTCCTAGGACTAAACAATTGTAAGGAAGCTGACTGACTCCTGGCATCCCACCCGCTCTCTTCCTCTTCTCTGCTCTCATCTGCCAGCGCCCTCTTTCTGCCTAAACTTCCTGGACGCGACACACCATTCAGCTGTCTCCACTTCCCCGTGCTTTGGGATTTTGGCCCTTTCATCCAAATACAGCCCTCCTCTGGGCTCTGTTTGGACACTCCGATCGGCCAATAGAACACACTACTGGTCAATCTGTTAAGAATCAGTAGTGGTTAACTATGGGTATGAATATATTAATACTCCTGGTCTTTTCCAAGTGCATTTTAACATGGCCTTTCTTAAAGCTATACCTTAATGATAAAAGTTTATGCTAATGGTGAAATTCCAGATGCCATAGCTAGTCGGGGAAAATATTTGGAGGTGTCACAAATCATCTACTGGATGGCTAACCATTACAAAAAAAAGGACAAAGTATACCTTCATTTTAGTCATAAATATATGGTAAAAGAGAGTGATTGTGGATTTTCTGTCGCTACAAATATAAGATACACCCAAGTGCTTTGGGAAAAGATCTTGCTGCGTAAATATAATTCTTGTGATGCTTTCCCAGCTCAGTGATTGAAGGATTCCAAGTCTACCTTTTCGAACAGTAAGCAATGAATCATGCAGAAACTGTTAAAATACTTCTCAGTACAGGTAGTGGAGAGAACATTAGACTCAAAGTCAGTAGATCTGGTTTGAGTCTTGCCTTTGCCACATAAAATCTAATGTATCTGGTTATTACTGAGTTGGGGGCGTCTCACTTTTGTCTGTAAAGTTTCATTTCTAAAATGATATTAAAAAAAAACTCTGCCTCGCTGGTTCTAAGAAATACCAGTAAAGAATGAAGATAATGACTACAATCATTATTCTCCTCAAATTTATCCACTGTTTCTCACCCTACCACTCCCATCTCAGCCATGAGGCTTTGTAGTACCAATAGTAATAAGTAACATTTATTTAATGCCAATTATGCTCCAGGCTCTGTTCCAACGTCTTTATATGCATTTTCTCATGTAATTCTTACAAAATCCTGTAAGGTGTTAGCAAGTAAAAGCCTACCGGCATGTTCCAGATGAGACACTGAGGTTGGGGTAGATTAGATGACTCACACTGGGCCACCTTTTGACTGAAACCCAAGGCTGGCTGTCTCTAAAGACAACATTCTTGTCAATACAATACACAAACTCCTATACCCTGCACCCCATTTGCATCCTTTATAAACCAAGGCCATTGTTGTCAGTAACGTTGTGGTTTAAGAAGCAACCTAAGAGGAGAATAAAAAACTATCAAGTGATGGCTGGAGGAAGATGCTCCTTTCCATACTCAGTGTATGGATTTAAAAAATTGTTTAAAAGTGAGTCCTTGAATCACAGAGCAAGAGCATCACTGATACTGTTTGGGAAAGTATATGTAATACGTCCGTTGTTTGTTTGGCTTACCTATTTTCCTAGGTAGATACACATGCTCTTAAATACATTTTGATTCAAAATTGTTGTCTGCCTTTTAACTTGTTTCGTCTGAACAGCAGAAAAATACACACCGATGATTCTCAATGAATTCTGACAAGGACTATCTCACAGGATTTCATGATCAGCATTTCAATTTATACTTTGCTTTTCCCTTTCCTGGTCTGGAACCACTAGTGTTTCTGTACCTCTCCAATTCTCGTTTCTCTCTTTCATTTATGCTTTCCCATATGACAATATGAGAAATTCCCCCATCTATCCTTTTTTTTCTTACTATTAAGATTGCATCCTTTTTCCTGGTAGAATTTTTTGGTCATACAAGCTAATCTGATAAAGAGACTAAGAGGATCCCATTTGAGAAATGAGAATTGTGACAGTCTGTCAACATCCTTTCTCAAATAGATGATCTATCTAAGCCCATCTAGGTTGTTCTGTACCCCCTGTCATGAGCATGTAGACAATTGTAGCCAATAAGATATTAGAGGAAGTTTGTTGGAGGCTTCCGGAAAAAAATTTCCTCCCTCCTAAGAGAGATTTACAAGAGACGTTATATCTCTCTATAGATATTGTCAGGTCAGGATGTCATACCTGAGACTACTACAGCCATTTGACTTGCTGAGGATGAGCCTAAACCAAGGAAGGCAGGTGAGGGTTCTTAATGACATTGACTCAACTACCTCTGGAGGCCATCTTAACTCAAATCTTCTTTTTATGGGCGAGCATAAGTTTCTATCTTATTTAAGTTGGATTGTGTCAGGATTTGGGTTACTTGTACCTGACATCATCTCCCACAGCTAGGTAACCCGTTTTTAAATGTACTAGGAATTATTTTAAAGAAAAAATAAGTGGATGTACCTCCTCCGCTCATTGGTCAGTAGCAATTGAGACAGACTCTAATGACAAGATGAAGGACTCTTAGATCTTTCCCTTAATGATGAGAAAGAAGTGTTTAGATACAAAATGATTTAGTCTTACAAAATGCTCATTTTTCTACCATAATAAAGAGGAAAACAAGAATATGAAATTTTATTTGTTCAACTAAAAGATTTTTCTTCATTTCTACAGTTCTTTCCTCTCAAATAGCCAAAACCTTTCTAGTATAGTTACCAATATCTTTGTAGGGAACTCTCCCAAGTCATTTCTTAGAATTTACAGTGAATGTTAACCAAATCCTGGCTTCAAATAATTACCAGAGGATAAAGCAGTCAGCTGGAGTGCCCGCTGTCAGTAAATCCCTGACATTTGGAATTTGAAGCTATTTGTACCTCTGATGCCAATATCGAATGCCAAGCCAAAAAGCGAAATCGGTTTATATTCACCATGGCCCACTTTGTCTATACTTTGCCCTTTATTTGAAATAGAATCAGTAAAAAAAAAGAAAAAAAATTTTAATTAAGATATGCTATTAAAGGTGATCTTTATGTCAGCTTTTTGTTTAGGAAGGAAGATAGTTTGGTCTGCTCCTTTTCTAAGCAAAAGTTTGAATAAGGTCTCTTCTCCTCTGTGGGTATGTGTATGAGAGACAAAACATAAAATAATCTTCATGTTATTTCTTCCCCTCCACTTGATGTTTGATCTGGTGCAGTGTTGAAAAAAAATGTTATTCATGACACTTGCTAAAACACTAAGGCAGACGTTATTCAGGACTATTAAGATGGGTGTAGGGTCTATTGCCATGGCATTTTGCTGCAGGAAAGTGAGATGGGGCTCAACTTTGAAAACAACAAGGAAAAGTGGGGGTTTGTAGCTAAGGAGCAAGGTGGGGGTCAGTGGATAGAAACTTACTAAGAGGAGACATCACGGGTAAAAAGGTCTTCTGGCTAAACCCATGTGACAGGATTTTTGCTGAAGCAGGCCAGGTGATCAGATATTACCTGGGGAGGGGTGGGAATGAGGAAATTTGATCAGATATCCAGGGTGGGGGATTTTTGGCAAAACCAACTTAGCAAGATTCTTGCTACAACTGAGCCATGCAGGCCCAACAAGGACAGACATGAAGGTCCAGGCCCAGAGAGCTTAAGAGGAGCCTGTCTAGAATTCGGTCACAGAGGGAGTGTTTGTCATCAGCAAGCTCCTTCAGTTCTTTCTACTGTCCTGTAATTGTTTTTTTCCTGAAAAAGGAAAGAA